TATTTAAATGTTCCTGCCTCAAAAGGAAATGTGCATAGATGACAAGATTAAAACGGTGAAAATGTTTTGTCCTTTTATAATTAGCTTTATATTATTTGTCATCAAAGAATAGCATCTCCTAAACTGGCTTTCCTGGCTTTATAGACTGGGTATGTGTAGAAGTTTCAGGAATAGCACGTTAATCAGGAAACTTTATTTTATTCTTTTCTCTCTTTGTTGCAGATTGGTGTTTAACAGAAAAGAAACATCTTATTTTCCTCTTGGCTGCTTTTTGACAATAGCTAGAGAGAGGCCAAACATAATTTAATATTTGGCTTATTTCCACACTGGGGGAATTGGTTTGAAGACTATTTTCAGTTTGTTCCTTTGAGTCACTGTTGCGCCTGAAAAATCATGTGCCAGGTGCTTCAGATCCAAAGGCCTGGCCCTTAAGTGGTTCCTGGTTTAGCTGGCAAGAAAACATAGTTGGATTTTCTTCTGTTTTTCTGGAGGAAAAAAAGTCAAATGTTACTGTTGATTTTAATAGCACAAAATTTAATAAAATTAGCAGAGTATACCCATCATTTCTAATTTCTGAAATCTTTTGTTCAGGTGAGACGTGGAATCCCTTAAAATTGCATTATCAGTTAAGAAACGTGCGGGAACGATTAGCTAAGAACCTGGTGGAAAAGGGCGTATTGACAACCGAGAAACAGAACTTCCTACTTTTTGACATGACGACACATCCCCTCACCAACAACAACATTAAACAGCGCCTCATCAAGAAGGTCCAGGAAGCTGTTCTTGACAAGTGGGTGAACGACCCTCACCGCATGGACAAGCGCTTGCTGGCCCTCATTTACCTGGCGCACGCCTCGGACGTCCTGGAGAACGCCTTCGCTCCCCTTCTGGACGAGCAGTATGAGCTGGCCACCAAGAGGGTGCGGCAGCTGCTGGACTTGGATCCCGAAGTGGAGTGTCTAAAGGGCAGCACCAACGAGGTGCTTTGGGCGGTGGTGGCGGCCTTTACCAAGTGACCGCTCCCTCCTCTCTTGTGAGCCAGTGGTTTCTCTTCTGTTGACTGCTGGTTTCTGCAGTTTGTACTTTCCCACACTAATTGGCTTTTGTTTTATGAACTGGTGGGTGGCTTTTTCTTTTCTGTATGTATGCAGGATTCTGCTGGTACGAGAGGCCTTCCTCTTTCTGTTTTAAAAAAAAGTTTTACTGCCACATTGGCATTCCATTCCTTGTTGCCATCCTCCCTGTTACCTGTTCTGGATTTCTGGTATGCTTTGACTTTCAAGGTACCTCCAGTCTCCTCCCATGCACATCTTTTGGATTACCTCAGGTTGAGTTTTCCCCACATGTGCGTGTACATCTAGCATTCTGCCTACAATTCAGACAGAAGTCACAAAAAGGCCTTTAACTCACCAAAGGTAAATATCTGTATCTATTAGGACATTTTATACATAGACCTCAGTTGAGATATATACTTAGCAAAATTATTTTTAAATTGAAACAGCACAGTAAATAATATAAAGTACCCATTGGATTTTGCTTCCCATGTAAATCTATTGTATTACTACACTTGTTATAATTTTAACTATTGAATCATAAAGGTCCAATTGTTTCACAAAGCCGGTTTGGGATGGGCTGCATTCCAGTTATGCTGTATATAGTTTGAATTATATATAAATTGCTCCTTCTGGCCACCCCCACCCATCTTAGTATTTTGCAAGATTTAATTAGTTGTACACCTGGTGCCCCTTACTTGCTACAGTCATTATTGTTTGATGGCAAAATAGACCTCTCATCATTGCAGGAGACAGAGAAGATGTGTGTCTAATTGGTCCCAAGATTTTTTGAGCTGTGCCATTCACGGTACTCTTTGCTTATGCATCTCCTTTTTGGATTTTTTTTTTTTTTGGTCTTACTATTTTTATCATTTCTGTAGGAAAGAGGCTTGTGACCAGTACTAATCTTGAGTACAGTTTATCTTTTTCTGTCCACAAGTAAATTAATGTCTGCTCTTAAATGTCATTTATCTACTCACATTTTCTTGAGGAAAAAAATCAAATGTCAGTCCTAGCAGATGTTGCATGTAAATCGTTAGCAAGTAATGACTACAACTCAGATGATAAGAATTTTGTAACAGAAAGCTCTGCTATGTTTTAATTTTTATATACAATTATGATAATTAGCACATTGTAAGAATATAAACCTTTGCTTTTTAAAATTTATTTTTTACTATTTCTTTATCACTGTTTATCGCATCACCATTGGTTTCATAATGTAAATACTATATATTGAACAAATTAAATGTCAGATTTTTATTACCATAGTTCATGTTACTAGTGGGGCTTTCAGGTGTTTAGAGATTGTTTTGGTTAACATTCAATGCAAAAGTACTAGATGGTGTATAACTCTACAGTTGAATTTTAAGAAATTCCCTAATATGTATACTATCTTTTTATCTGAAGTAATAAATAAACTATGATCTTGAAAGTGCCTGAATCAGAGCAAGCATGTCATTTGTATTTTTGTGTTCTAATTTTCATGTTCTTGGTTTTCTTCCTAATGAAGTTTCACTTAGCCTTAGTATAGAGTGGCAGTACATCAGTGCAGGGGTTGGCAGACTTTTTCTTACCTGGTCAGAGAGTAAATGTTTTAGAATTTTAGACAATAAATATTTTATTAAATATTTGTGAGCCGTATGTGAATGAAAGCCCTGCTGAACGAAAGTCGCTTTAGATCCTCAAAGAAATGGGAGAGGCTGTAATCCAGTAAAACTTATTTACAAAAAAAGGCAGCTGGCCTTGGGCAATAGTTTGCCAGTCCCCATTTTAACACATGTGAAAAGGCAGATTTTCTGTCCATTAAGATAACCTCCTTTACCTCTAAAAAGGATACTACTATGGTGGTAATTAAGTATAGGAAGTATTAATTTATAGTTTCTTCCCATAAAATGGATACTTGAAACTGATACCAGTATCCTGGAATTTCTTTTTAGGTGAAGATTTTCTGTTTTTCTCCTGAACAGATTTTAGGAGTGAGGTAATGGATGTCTCTGAGGTGTTCTTGACTTCAGCAGCAGCCGAGTGCCCGGTCCGCTGTGCCTGTGTGTGACCCTGGCTTCAGTTCCTGTTTCTATCTCCAGAGGAGGGGAAAAGCCGTGCAATCTGGAGGGGAGGGTGTTGTCTAGAACTTGTTCTTCCTATAGAATGCTGCTGCTTACGGTCATCTGTAAAGAGGAATGGTATGACTCCATGGAAATTGTTCTGTGTGATAGGAGCACCATGTCCACAGGCTTTTGCTAAAAAGCCTTCAGATCCAAGAATCAGGCAGTGAGTTTTAATATAATAAAACTTACATAAAGATCTCTCGTGTGACGGCTCTGATGCTTTCTGACTTTCTTCATATGTCGTTTGATTGCTGTGTGTTCCTTAGAATATCCTGGTTTAGAACAGTGCTCTAACAGAAGGGAGAAAGGAAACTTACTGAATGTATGTATTTTATATATTGTTTTGACCTCCCAAAACCCCAATTACTGTCTTCTTTCTGAAGAACAGGCTTGGAGAGGAGGATATGCCGAGTCTCACGTTACCTGGTAAGTGTCTGAGCGTCTCATCCTGAAGCGAATGAGTAACAGTAGCGGCATGCAGCTGCACGGTTCCCTCTCGTCTTCGGGCACTAGGAGGGGGCTCCTTCTCTAACAGAGGCAAAAACAGACCCGTGGGCACGTAAAAAATTCTCATGGTGGTGCGAGATACAGTCATAAGAGGATTTTCCTGCCTTATTCTGATATCTTGGTATAACTTACATAAATTATCTTTCAGGGATGACAAAGTTGACTAATTCTTTATGTTCTGAAAAGAAAGAAGCATTGTCAGATGTCAAGTGGCCAAGAAAGCCCCTGGCTGCTGCAGCAGGACTGCTCTGTGGTCTCTGTTGCATTTCGTCAGTTCTTCCCACTGTCTGTGAACAGGTGGGTACAGTGCTTTTCTTAAGTAAGACAAGCGTTTGAGTTTGATCATCTTCTGAAGGAAAGTGAGAGGGGGCTGCTGTGTGACTGGTTCAGTGGCAACATAGGACCACCCAGTAATGACATCAGCCTGATGATGACAAGAGCCCATGACTGCCACACACGGTTCCTCTTGCCCCAGGAACGTGGAAACCACGAGTCACAAGTCTCTCAGGTATTTACTTTATGAAGGTTAATTCTAACTCTGTGGCTTCTCCATCTTACATTAAGATGTGTATTGTAGATAATATTCCATTTCACTTTACATGCAGATGAAGACAACCAACAACCTGAGGTAATTTCCAATTCATTGAAGCCCACTGGATACCAGAATGATATCCCTGGCTGTGGTAAGTTCTGCATGAACGTCATAGATTCTTTAATAGCGTCGGTAAGGTCGTGGTGTTAATGTTTACAGCCTTGCAGGCTCCTCTTCAAAGAGCCATGGATGGTAAAGGTAAGTGATACCCATGCCTCCTCAGCCCAGTGTTAGAACTGCGTAGGCGTTTACTCCTGGTAGACCAGTGGTGTATTGCGATTCTCACTAGCATTGTTATATACTAATGTGCAGTTTACTTTTTGTGCTTACATTGTGGAGAACTGTCAGAATAAGCACACATCATTCTTTTTAATCATTTTTGGCTTCATTGTGTAACTTTTCCCATTAATGGACATTTGGATTATTCTCATGTTTTTCATTATTGTAAACAGTATTGTCTAATTTTGTACATATATTTATATTTGTTTGATTTCTATAGGAGGAATTAATAGAAGTGAATTTGCTCGAAGAGTGTGCCATGAAAAATGTTAAAGATAAAAGCCAAGTTGGTTTCTAAGATTCATGTTAGCTTGTTCTTCCAAAAATGGAAGTGCTGCTTTCCCTACACGTTAGCTAATGCCACAGGGGGGGTCGTCAGTCCTGGTCTTTGCCAAGGCAGTAACAGGGGAGAATGATGAAATTATTTTAATTATTGAAGGATCGATTATCATTTATCTTTATTGGTAATTTGCATTTTTTTCTGTGAATTACCTGTTCATGTTCTTTATCCATTTTTCTAGTTGAGGTCATTGATCTTTTTTATGTGTTGATTTACCAGAGCTTTTCATAAATTACGGGTATTAGCCTTGTATCTGTGATGTAATTGTTTTTCCCATAAGTTTTTTTTCTTTTTTCTTTTTTCACATTCAAGAAGGTGTAAGGTGCAGTGCTCAAGCATGAAATCTGTGGAGACCTTGATTGTCCTACTAAAGAGATCAGCATGGTATTCAGGTGTTGGGAGATACATATATTTCATAAAAATATGGGGAGGTGTGGTTAAATATAACAATATAAAAATCACAAATATGTAATATATGCATATGTATGCAAACATTTCATTTAATTTTTATGGTTGAAAATACAAATGGACAATTACATAAACAAATGCATAGACTAATGGATTATTTTAAGGCGAATATGCTTGCACCCATCACTCAGGCCAGGAGAGAAAACCTTGCCAACTATCCAGAGACTGTTCAAGGCTGCCTCCCAATTACAACCTTCCTAACTCAAGAGTAGCCACTATCCCAACCCAGTATGCATCTCTAATAATTTTATTCTGTTTCATTTTTCATATGATGGGCCTTTTTTAGTTTCTCTCAATCTATAGGTTCTTCCCTATATCTTTTTTTTTTCCTTGCATAATATTTGTCGATGAAGTTGGATCCCTTGTCCTGTAGAGTTTTCCCAAGTTCGGACTTTGCTGATTGTATCCACAAAGTGTGGTTTAATGTGTTTTTCTGACTTCTCTACTTCTTGAGAACTGGGCGTTGGATCTGAGCCTCTGTCAGATTCCGGTTGGTTTGTGTAGGCAGCTGTTCATAGGTGGTGGTGTGTTCTCCCATCAGGAAGCACATGATGTCTCTCTTGTGATGTTAGGAATCTTCCTGTTCAGTTCTTAGATCCTGTGGATGGTTGGGGTTGTATCTGGTGATTTTTAATTGTTATCATTTCTTCTTTGTTTATTAGAGTATTTCTATAAAGAGAAATTTCACTTTACCTACATTATCTTTTAGTACAGTTCATAGAGGAAAGGTAGGATAATCTACATTCTATTTATCAGTTTTCAAAATACAATTGGTTTCACAGCATTTTCCAAAGGTGACTGATTCGTTTTGTAAATAAACATTCTTTTATAATCATAAATTTCCTTGGTGAGAAATAGGATTCTGGACGTGGAAAAGTGGAGATGTGGCTTTAAGACAGAGATAGAAAACCCTTGTTCTAAATTCGAATCATGAGTATCAGCATAGTCTTATGAGGGGGAGGGTATAGCTCAAGTGCTAGAGCACATGCTTAGCATGCACAAGGTCTTGGGTTCAATCCCCAGTCCCTCCTTTGAAAATAAATAAATAAATAAAGCTAATTACCTCCCCCCTCCAAAAAAAAAAAAACAGAAAAAAAACATAGGTTTATGGGATCCTTTATTTTTTTATTATGTTAAAGTATATATAACATAAAATTTACCATTTTAAGGACCTACTGTATAGCACAGGAAACTATATTCAATAACTTATAATAACCTATAGTGGAAAAGAATGAAAAAGAATATGTATGTATAACTGAGAATCACTTTGCTGTACAACTGAAACTAACAACATTGTAAATTAACTATACTTCAATTTTAAAAATAGTTTAAAAACTTTACCATTTTAACCATTTGAAGTATACAGTTCAGTCCCCCCGACTTTTGGTAGTTGCGCTGTCTCTGCTGTGCAAGGAAGATCGTTGTCAGATACTATAATCTCTCCACTTCAGTCTTACTCTTACTTCAGTCTTAACTCTCAGGTAAATATATACTTGGTTCTCACCACCATTCCTTATGTCACTGTCCAGTGAATCTGGTTGTCTGTTTGTTAGTAGATTTTTCAGAATGGGCTTGTGAGAATAGTATTTCCTGTGTTTTTATATGCTGATGACAGTTTCTCTGCAGCCTTTTATTTGAAAGTCAGTTTGTGTAAAATGGTTGGGTCACTTTTTTTTTTTTAAGTATGTTCTTTTTGGCATACAGCAGTACTGTTGAAGTCTGATTGTAACATAGTTTTCTTTCCCTCACGAATGCCTTATTTTTTTTTTTGCCTGGAGCCTGTGGGATTTTTTTCTCCAATTTTTTGCCAGTAATGTCACTACAGTACGTTTTGGTGTTGGTGGTTCTGGTTCAGTTTTCCCAAGTACATGATGTGTTCTTTCATTGCATAGCGTCAGATCTTTTTTTATTCTTAATTTAAGGAAAATTTAAAGTTTTAGTGTTTGTTCTGTTCCCTTGTTTAGGCTTCCTTCTTTGGGGATTGCTATTATGTATCTTTTTTTTTTTTCCAGTTTTGCTGGGGTTCTTTTCTTTATTTTTGATCTTTAAATGTTTCACTTTTTTTATCTTCTCTTTCTCATTATCTTAAACATTATCCTGTTTATTCACTGTGAATGATCTTTCTAGTTTAGTCTTTTCTGAAATTACTTTTTTCCTGAGTTTCAATAACCAATTTCTGAATTTTTCTGATTTCCGTTGATATCATTCATTCTTATTTTGTGTCATTTTCTTGATGTATTTTAATTGATTTTGAGGTATTAGAGCTTTTATAGGTTTCCTGGGTACGTCTTTCTGGTGTGCCTTTGTCGTCTGTGGGATTGTACTTGCTCCTTATGCTCTGTTTTGTTTTGATTACTTTGTATGGGATTTGACCTTGATTATCTTCTGTTGCCCATTTTCACATGAAATTACTTTTCCTATTTGAGAAGGGAGATGTGAGTCAGGGTAGCTTTTCTGACTGTACACTCTACGTGTAAAGAAATACAGCAACTTGCTTTCTAGGATCTGGTTCTGCTGCTCTCACTTGCCTTTATCTGGACCTCCTTTTTTTTTTTTTTCTCCCATCTCTATTCTTATCCAGCTCAGTTTGGTTCTGTTCCCAGTAGTGTCTCCTCAGTATGGGGCATTGGCTGGTCATGTTTGAGAGGGAAGAAACTATTCCCGTGTCAGCTGCTGTTACCTAACGGTCCTCTGAGCTGCTCTGTTGACTCTGGGGCTGTGGGGTGGGGTGTGTCAGGGCTGTCCGATGCCCTGTTCTTCCTTCTTCCCTTGTGCGGATTCTCACACCACATTGGGCTTGTTGCTGTTTGTAGTTTGCCTCTGCTCATTTGTACACTTTGGAGTTTGGGGGGGTACTTTCCACACCTAGTTTTGTTGTAGATGTTGACCAGGGTTTTTCTATGCTAGTAGCTCTGGGTGTATGTGTGTGGTGTTAGTGGTGGGGAATGGGAAATGGGTGGGATATGAAGAGAATAAAAAACTGTCACTGTTCTATTTTCCCTGAATCTGCTGGGACAGCCCCCAGTAGTTTTTAGTTGGCATGTGGTCTCGCTTCTGCTTTATAGCTTCTGAATTTAGTCTCATATTCACTTTATGATTAAAACAACATATTTAGCTTTTTAGATGTTTTTTCCTTTCTTGCTTTTAAATGTATGTATGATCACTCGGGAATTTTGTTGTCAAGGAATTTGATGCAAGGGATCCAGCTTCCCCCCACCCCCCGCCCTGCCCCAAATACCTTGCCAATTATTTAACAGTCCATTTTCTGTAACTGATTTAGAATGCCCCTTTGAATTTCTTCAAATTCAGATTCTTCGATTCAGATTTAATTATACTGGTTTTCTGATAATGTTGTAATAGGGCTAGTCCCCTACTTAGGCTTTTTCAAGATAATTCTGGTTATTTGTACATGTTTATCCTACCAAATGGACTTTAGAATAATGTTTTTCAGGTTAAAAAGATTCTTTTGAGGTCATTGTTGGATTTATATTATAATTATAAACCTGTTGGAGGAGAATTGAAATCTTTGTAGTATTGAGTCATTCTATCCAAGGATAAGCTATATCTCTCCATTTTTCAAGTTACTGGTTTGATGTCCCTTAATAGAATTTTGTAGGTCTTACCAGTCCTTGCCAGAGTTAAATATATTTTCAGGTACTATTGTGAATGGGTGTTTCCTCTTGTAATATGTTTTAATTGGTTATTATTTACATGTAGGAAAGCTTGTTTTGATGAATAACTTTTGATAGCCACCTTACTGAATTCTAATATTTTAATAGTTTTTAAATTGATGTGTTTGTGCTTACATGTATGCAGCTATATCATGTGCAAATTATGATGCCTTTGATTCTTCCCACTATTTATACCTCTGTTAAAAATTTTTGTCTAATTGTATTGGCTTGTACCTCTAGAGTATTGTTATTCAGCAATAACAACAGTGGACATCCTTTTTTTTTGTGTATACCTGACTTTAATGGGAATGATTCTGGAGTTTTTCCATTAGAGTTTGAAGTGGATTTTTTGAAGATATGTCCTTTCACAGGATTAAGATTTCTTAATTTCATATCATTCCTGCATTCCTGGAATTAATATCAGTTAGACTTGGTGCTTTCTTTAATGCACTACTGGATTCTATTGGCTAACATTTACTTGGGATTTATTTTATTTATACATTTGCTTTGTCCATTTTCATTGTATTCTAAACATTTTTCAAGTTCATCAAGTTCATCTGCAATGTCACTGACCTGGGTTTTTGCAGTCTGATTTGACTTGATACTTACATGGCTTTGGTTCAGTAAGGTGGTCTCTTCAGTTTCTGTTCTTTGTTCTACCAGATCCGTATTAATCTCATTTGATTTTATCTCTTCTTTGATCTTGTGCTTCTTAGAAGCCACATTCTCTTTAAGTGCATTGAAAATATTAAACAGTTTGTGTTTCTAATTTTCTTTTGATTCTCAAGCTGGTCCTCCAAGTTATATTTTTTATCTGCCTTTTGCGTACTACGTTTCAGCACCCTCCCTCCCCCTTTCCCAGTTCTGTATTCATGAATAGGACACTAGCTGGGCCTGACTGTTGAATAGGGGAGGTGGGGTTCTATGTAAGCCTGTCATTTGGTCACTAGTGGGTACTTCAGAACTCTGTTTAAGCGCTGTTCAGTTCATCCCTTAGGATGAGAGAGAAGAGCTGATTTTAACCTTTTTTCAGATCTAGCTGCTTTGGGGGGATTGAGAGGAGGGGTATAGATTGGTGCCTGGTGTGACCTTTATGGGTGAGCGGCGGCTGCTAATCTCTGAGTGGATCAGTTGAGCCCCTTTGTTGCAGGAACCTGTGTAGCAGGGGCTCCCCTCAGATCAGACCATTCCTTGCCTATGACTCCTCTGACCTGCCGAGGCTGACCAGGTGCCCCCTCCGCCACCTCACCTTCCCTCCCATTCCAAGGAGTGGAAATGGCTCTAATTTTGGGTGCTTCCTGCTTTTTCTGAGGCCCAACTTCTCCTGTAATTCCCTTTCTTCAAGTGAAGTTTTTTTGGTGGCATTCTTCAGAACTCTGATTTCATACCTTCTTTGCTTTCTCTCATTCAGAGAGAATGGTATCCCATTTCATTATTCTCCTTCAGTTTGGTCTCAGATTTTATTTATTTTATTTATTTACATGGTATATAGCCTTCAACGTTCATAGAATGCGTGTGTGGCTATTTCTATATTGTGTTGAAACTGTCCTCCAGGAAAAAGCTCTACCCAAATGTGAGGGTAGACTGAGCCAGTCCGAAACAAACTTTTGGAGTACATATGGAAAATCAGGCAGGCAGCAGTTTGGATATCCAGAGAAATTCTGTGACACAGAGTGGGGCAAAAATTATGACAAAATAGCCTTCATTGGTTTCTAAGAAAAGGTGTGAAGAACTGGGGATAAGGCTGCCAGTGGGCAGAGGGAGGAGAAGCAGGTCTGCAGAAACAGACCCATGTGGAGCCCTGTCAGTGGAGGGGCAAGTGAGGGGGGAACCGAGTGACAACCCCCTCCCCAGAGTTTCTCCTGTTTCTGAGGTCTGGTCATATGTGGAGTCCCATTGTTGGATTTCTGTGAGCTGCCATCTTGCCTTCTTCCTTGGGCTACACTAGGTTGATGTCTGCCTCTGAAAACCAAAAGAACCTAAATAAAGTAGATGCTTTTTATTTCACTCTGCAAAGAAAGATCCCAGATCATCCAAGTATCTGGTGGGGAGAAGGTGGCGAATGAGTAAGGGTTTTAGGAAAAACGAAGAATGTAGTCATTGTGAAGAATGAGAGAAAAAAAACTGACAAGGAAACAATAGCCAAATAGCGTCCAGGTTCCAACTGAGGTTGGAAACCATGAACTGATGGCAGCAGCTCCTGTGCAGTTGTGAGGCTTTTGTGAGATTCAGGAATAGGCCTGTAGGTACCAAGAGCTGGCTGGTTGGAAGGATCCCAGATGAGCTGGGGCAAGGCTGCCGAGCACCCGTGTGCTGGGTGGAGGTGGTGGTGCTCTCCCATGGGGTCTCGTCTAGATAGAGAAGGGAAGGAAACGGTGGGGGTTCTCTAGGGCAGACAACTAACATTTGTCCAGGGATGGAGGGCCTGTTGAAACGGAAGAAGCAGTACTGGGAGGAAGCAGAGGAAGCGCCAGACGGTCTGGAAGGTGTAAAAGCGAGAGATTTTTGATTTTAAGACCTCGGAGGCGGAACAGTTCTGGATTGTGTCCGGTCCTGAGTGTGGCCGTGGAAAGAATGGTTGACTTGAGTTCTGCTGCCTTTGTCCCTCTCAGCCATCCAAATAATCAACATTTCTTATCTTGGTATTTTAAAAGTTTATTCTATAGAACTAAAAAAACAAGAAACAAACCAAGTAGTAAACAGAGTGTTTATTTTTTTAAAATTACTTAAAAAATGTTTATAGAGATGTGGATTTACATACATAACTTGGCGACAACATCTTAAAAATGTACAAGCTATTTCATATTATTGCACTTACTCTTTAATATATAAGGCATTTTATTTTACATAAATAAAGGATAACGTATAATATCATACAACAGGTGTAGTGCCAACTGAGTCAACCCTAAAGTTAAATGAGCTGTGTATGGGATGACAGAAACGAAACCCAACCTACTTCAATTTTCACGGTATATCCTTGCAACTATGATTTACACGTTATAACACAGTTACCATCATAGCTTATTGTGGATGACTGACCAGTTAAAAACCAAAACAATGGAAGTTTTAGTAGGACAATACCATTAGTGTTCACGTCTGGATGTGTGGGAATTTATTAGACTAATTAGAAATACTAGTCATGCCTTGAACACTGACGACAAATAAATAGCTTTCTATCCCAGGGTCAAAGTTTAGCTTTTGCTTCCTCCCTGAAATTCCAACTGTTGAATTCCAAAGGAACCCTCTGGCCAAGTCCAACAGAAGTGGCTGATGACTAATAGAGTTTATTGAGCCAGGGGTCTACCCTTGTGCTCTTCAGATATGAGGATTAGGAACTCTGAGAAGGGGAGCGTTCCGTTGCTCCCATTGCCCTGGAGATCCGTCACGCAGGCCTGGGTGTTTCTATGTAGGCACAGCTGGAAGAGTGGAGGCAAAAAATAGTTTTTGGCCTTGACTTCAAAGAGTCTCTCATTTAAGCAAGAAAGCAGAAGCCATAAAACTGACCCCAGAGACTTAAAAAACAATCTAGCATGCACCTTGCACTGACTTCCTACAGTATCCTATCTGGAATTGTAGTAGTGAAAAGTAGAAGCTAAATTAATCAGGTCTGTCTAGCTAACCCCTGAACTACATTCTCTTGTATAACCTGTTTAAAAATGAGAAATCTGGGCTCACACCAGCCAGATATTTCACTCCCCTCTGAGAGACCTCTCTGGGCCAAGTCCACAGAGGTGTACTGGGATTAGTCACTCAGAAATAGGTTATTTAAAGAAATTGCCAACATAAAACCCTAGCGTCGTGCACGCAGGTATGCAAGCCTCACCCGTATTCCCAGGACTCAGTCAACTGGCCTGCGCCACCCGAGGATGTGTGTTGTAAATACACAGTTCTGCTCCTTTACTGAAAAAGACTGACTCATCCTCATTCTCCATTTTCTTATTACATTTTAGCAAATGAAGCTAATGAGTGTTTGGATTTTAAGAAGGTACAGTATGAGGGGAGAAAAGCCAGTTTTGTGACAAGGAACAGCACATCGAATGGGAACAGTTACTACGAAGAAGCTCGTGCTTCAAAAGGAGAGCAGCTGGGACGAGTGTCACAAGCAAGTGTGAGTCACAACAGTGTTCTGCAGGGAAACACTTTTGGCCAAAGGAAGAATTTGCAAAACGGGAAAACAAAAAGAGCAAAGGCTTCAGTCACTGCAGAGCTATGTCATCAAACCCAGGTCAGGAAAATAGATCCAATGCTTAGAAATATATTTCTTAAGCTTGTTGAAAAGTGGGGGGGAGGGGGAAGCCGAACAAAAGAGTCTTCTTAAAGGATTGTTTTAAGCTCACCTGTTTGGATTATAAATCCAAGGATACTAAAAAGATACTTGATTTCTGAAAATTTAGTTTAAATTAGTAGTTGGAGTACATAAAATACAGAAATGGAAACCCAGTGACGAGGATAATTTTTCTTGCTCTTTTGCTGACCAGTCTTGAATTCAAGCATTTATTCAAGACAAGTTCCAAACTGGATGCAAGGTGCTTTCAGAGCTGGAACTTTCTGCTCTTTCTAAGCAGTGAAGTTCATGGCTATTTAGTACAGTTTATCGGAGCTGCATTCCTATAAAATTGCCTTTCAATATACGCTTTCAGATCATGATCAACATTTCATGTTGATCCATGACCATGACCCACTGAGTTGAACTATGCAGCCATATGAGGCACATTACACTCACTAAAAATACCACTTTCTGTATTCTGCTTTTTCACTTTTAGATAATTCCTGAGCTCAGCCTAACCATTAGGTCATAATTGATTTTCGTTTTTCAAGTCTCTTTTCTTTTCAGGATAACATACAGACCTACAGCTCCTTCCACTGAATGTGCCTAAAAGCATTCTGTTATTTACTTACAAAAGTATATAAAACTATAGTCCTTTTGGTTGTGACACCTGTGTTGCCCCTCAGACTCCGTTGGCTTCCTAATTGCCAGGCTTGATTCTGCTGGGAGAGGTGGCAAGCAGGATGTGAAGCTCACTAGAGGTTTCAGATGAAGAAGGGCATGCCACATCTGTGTCCCCATCAGTAAACGTGAGAGGTGGTGGGGGACAGGCACTGGAACGAAGCGAACCCTCTCGCCTAGGAGATCCAGGCGGAAGGCCTCTGGAGTTCAGCTCCATTGCTGCTGCACACAAGAAAGGTCAGCTTCCTGTGTAAGTAAAAACTTGGAGAGTTTTTCAGTCCTTGCTCACACCAGTGCTCCTCTGTTGTTTCAGGAACCCATGGTTTAAAGAAGTCATTCTGATTTGCTAAAGAAAGAAGGGAACGGAGGAAAGGAGATTCTGGTTAAAAAAATGCAACAGGCACTATTAGTGTCACTACTAGTGCTTGTTGCAGGAAGAATTCCTGTGCTTTCTGATGACTAACTGCACAGGTCCCTCCGGGACAGACTTCATAATATTCCATGCATCGAAGTGCAAGAGCCCAACCAGGGATTTCCCATTAATGGCAAGAATTTCATCTCCAGCTTCTATTGTTCCAGCTTGTTCAGCTGCACCACCTGTGAGAAGAAATACAGAATAATAGCTTGGTACTTTCATAGATTTAGAATAAATTCCAAGTAAACTACAAATTTAAGTGAGAAAAATCTTTAAAAGGATATGCCTGTATTCTTAGGAGAGGGACATTTTCTTAAACAAGACATAGAACGCATAGACCCATAAAAAGAAATTCAATGACATTAAAAAAATTCAAATCTATAATAACCCCTCTTTCCCTAAAACAACTAAGGGAAGATATTTTCAATGTATTTAGTCAAGAAAGGGTTAATATCTAGACATGATAACTCCAAATCAATAACGAACACACCAAAAAATCTAAATGACCAATAAATGCAAGAAAATTAGTTCAACTTCTACTTGTTAACAGATACTGGCTAATCTGTCCACGGTCTGAGAATCAGTGAGTACATGCTCTCCTGTGACTGTGGACGTTCCTTAATTGATTACTGATCCACAAAACTTAAATTTCTACCCTATAACTTTGTGTATGTTATAGCAAGTTTGTGAGCTTTGAAAAAAACACAAGTTTAAGCCCTCTTCTATTTACTTTCTTGCACACACACGTCTAAAACAATCGCATTGAAGAAGAAATGCACACTGGCTATGGAGGCATCTTTTCATCTTATGCAAGAAGGACCGTTGGAAAAAAAATTCCCTGCCTGAAAAAAAGTGTCTCAGAAATCTTTAGATTTCAGAACACTGAGCAGATATATCTACTTTGTCCCAAATGTCTGAAAAGCATTGTTAAATATTACTTGATACCAATACACACGTTAATTATAGTTGCATTTCTTCCAGCTATATTTTTATTATTTTATCAACCTTTATAATCAACTATAAAACCAAAGGTAGTGCCAGCTTTGGGACTTATATATCAGAGAGAAATACTTTTCTCTTGTTTTTAAACCATTGTTGTTTTGGGTTTTCTATGACATGGGGCCAAAGAGAATCCTAACTAATTTGATCAGGCTCGCGCGCTCTCCATTTATTGAGATTTTTTTTTTTAAAGTCTTTTAGAATGCTAGAATGCTTTTATGCTTTTCTCCAAAAGGTCTTGCATGGTTTTTGTGTGACACACCCTTAGGTTTTTTATGGTTGTTACTATGAATTGGCATCATACAGTACCGAATCTGTATTTTGCTTTTTTTCCCCCCGATCTGGCACTGTTTTTGAGCTGATCCCGGTTAATGTATATTGATCTAGTACGCTTTTTGAGTTGCTATATGGTTTTCGTTTTTATGGATGTAATGTATTTTACTCATCATTTTGCTACAGATAGAAATGTAAATTGTTTCATGGCTTGTTTTAGCAAGCACTGCCAAATGTTTCCCCAAAGAGATGAACCATCTCTGCTTCCACCAGAAAGTATGTTCTTCTTTCCTTAGTATCTTGCCAACACTTCATATTATGAGATGATTTATGGCCAACTTGATTTAAAAGAAAATGGTTCCTAGTAATTATAATTTTCCTAATAACTAATACAAGTTTGAGCATCTTTTCCTGTATTTCTTCCATTTAGGTTTTAACTTTTGCCGATTCTGTTCTCTATTCATTTCTTTTACCTAGTTTTTCTTTTTGTGTTTTTCTTACTGAATTACAGTTCTTTGTGTTTTCTGGATATTAGGCTTTTATTGACTAACTATATTGCACATATCTTCTAGGCGCTTAGATTTTTATATTTGTGAACTTTTTTGCCATATAGGAGATAAACATTTTACATATATATACATATATTCTTACATGTTTTTGTGTTATACTTAATCCTCCCTATAGGATTTTAAAATAATGGTTATTGCTGATATATAGGAAATTCTGTTGATTGTTGTGTGTTTGTGAATTCAGCAATCTTGGTGAGCTATTTATATTGGCTTGATTCTGTTAGATTTTTTTTTTTTTAATCAGGAAGAACATAATTTGCAATAATGACAAATTGTATTCCTATATTGCTAATCTTTGTATCTTTAATCTTTTTCTAATCTTATTGTATTACTGATATTCTTGGTAAAATGATGAAAAGGGAAACATAGTTAAAAAAAAAATTAGAAAAGAATTTTTTTTAAAGCAGCCCGGACATTGGTAGTGACAGTGCTCTAACCTTTACCTGGATGGCTGCCACTTCACACAAGAGCTTACAAATAACTATTCACTGCTTTTTTCATAGATAAAATCCCTGACTTTCAAGAGAGCTTTAGGGAAATATGATATTTAATTTCTTTATTATTCAAAGAATTTTTTTTACATTCGATTGATGCAGGAAATTGAATATTGCTCTATTGCTTTTGGTGCTGGAGCTAAAAGGCACAGGAAACCAGAAGAAACAGAAAACCTGTACCCATTAAATCTGTAAGTATGAAATAAAGGTAAGAACTCTTGGGACAGAGCTCTAAGCCTGTAAAAGGAAATCACATTTACTAGTCTCCAGCAAGAGTCAGGGAGGGACCTACTGCATAATATTCAGAAATTCTTGAATTCCTTTTCCCAAGAAAAAAAATGCTGGCTTGTGGAACAAATGCTTCTTTCTCCTTCCTCTCTGTCCATTTATATCATTTTTCATGGATTTCTAGCCAGATGCTAGAGATGAAGGCCAAGAAATTCCCCAGGACATTATCCTTGCCCTGCTGGCCAGAGATCAGGGGGCGGCTGCTTCCCTACCTCAGGGCTGCAAATTCCGCGGGACTCCCAGTGTGGCCTCTCAGTCTCCACCCGGGCTGCTGCCTTTGTTGGCTTCAGCTTCTGCTCCTTGGCTCACAGGTCAAAAATACCTTTTTGGGCTGTGAGCTTCTTGGCCTTCAGGGGCTGCATGTCCTGGGACTGATGACAGTGGCAGTGACTCTAGCTCCCTTCACTGCGTGAGTCCCGAAACCTCCATTTTGCTCTCACTCTTGAGTGCTGGTCTGGCTGGGCAGTGTTTTAGGCTGACAGATGTTACCCTCTGTCCTGGGAAGGGGTTATTCTGTCATCTTCCGGCATTCACGCTGCCAGTCTGATTGTGGTGCCTCTGAGCAATCTGCAGATTTTCTGCGTGCTTCTTAGGTGTTCTTATTCTTTATATTTTGAAATGTTATTGTGATATATCAAGGTTTGGGTTTTTATGAAAATCATCTGTTTTACCCTTGATGAGAATTTTCAGTCTGAATACTCCTATTTTTCAATAGTCACGATGTCTCCAAATTTTCCTCCTCATCGCTTAGCATGCTTTTGTAATTTTTATCTATTCCCTTGTGTTGCAGTTTTTATGGTTTCTTGTTTCTCAATTTTTATGTTCTTTGTAAGGATTTAGTATAGTTTTAAATTCTATTTATTAGTTTAAAAAATATTTGGCTGCCTTTTCACTAACAGGTTTGTTTGTGCATGTCTTTTAATATGTCTGCTTCTTTTGAATACCCTCTTGTTTTATGGATAATATTTCTGCCTTAGTTTTTAATGGACTTTCCTGTTTATTGAGTCTATTGGTGATTTCCTCATGCACTTTGTAATCTTTGTTTTAGGGTCTTGCTGAGTGCTCCTACAGTCACGTTCAATGCTTGCCTTGGTTTGGCTTTCTGTGTTCTGCTGCTGTCAAGTTAATATGGAGTTTTCCCTTTACTCAAGGACCACGCTCTAGACATCACACACAGTAGAGGCCTGGCTCCTGATTTATGCCTGTCCTCTGTTTGCCTGGGGAAGGGCGGGTGGCAGGGATGAGCAGTTTGTCCCAAGATGCTACCTGAGCTAGAAGGCAGAGCTGTTTTGACCCCCGTCACCAGCAGAGAGCAAGTTCCAGCCCTCTGCATCACAAGCAGCCTGGTTCTAGGCTCCCACAAAATCCGGGGGTGCTCACTGAATCCCCAGCTTCCACTGCACATTTCTCACCCCCTGCTTTCTCTGGGCCACAGGCTGCAGCCCCTGCTGACCACTAGGGGCTTCATTTCTACTTTTGATCCATGAATATTGAAGAAATAACTCAATTAGTACTGTGTGCCAGGATTAGGGAAGAGGCTTCTAAATTATTATGCAATTGTAGAAATATACCATAATGCCACCGACTAGAGGGTCATTTAAAAAGTAACAATCCTTATCTAAGAAGAACTGACCTTATTACTTGCTACCCTGCCAACTCAGTTATTCACAACCCATTTACAGTTTGCATGCTAGACTGCAGGAAAGTAAGATGGGAGGGAGCAGGTATCATCGGCATAGTTGGCAGAGATGAGGTCTCTTCATGAACTTGAATAATGCATTGTATGATCTTGGACAGTTCCCCAAATCTCTTCAGGTTCCTGAGCTGAACAGTTATATTAACAATATCAGTATATGTGTGTATGTTATATACAGTATCTGTTATGTACTGATACTGTTTTATGTGAAATATTAGTACTATGGTACAGTATTAATTATTATTATAACTGCTCAGCTCAGGGACGTGAAGAGAGAATTTCTGAAATCTGTCCAAGATCATAAAAAGACCTCATATCTACCAACTATTTCAGTGATACCTCCTGCTCCCATCTTACTTTCCTGTAATCCAGTATGTGCGATTTTAAGTGACTAGTCTTGATCAATGTTAAGTATCCTTGACTGACAGCATTACTTAGCTTGGTATGTTCCCATCAGTAATAGCTCATAGTAATTAAGAGCATGAAGACAGGAACGAGGAGCTGTGGCACGTCTCCGGAGAGATCTGTGTGACCTTAGATGCTTGTGTAACTCCCCTGCGGCTCAGTTTCTTCTTACTAGTGCCCCCCCTGCAGAGCTGGCATGTGCATGACATGAATTACTACATGTGAAATGCTGACAACAGAGCTGACACACAGTAAACCTGCACGTCACAAGCCTTTTTAAACAAATTTGATTTCCAAATGGAAGGCACTGACATACACAGAGAGAACGCAGGTACTGGGCACTGATTGGGTGTTCGAGGACATTACCTTTATACACTCTCTTAATGAACAGGGGCCCATCTCCAGACATAGACGATCTCCCTCCGTCCAGACTCAGTCCCAGTCCAGCCGAGGTCTTCAGCATCTCCACACACACGGCATCGTGCGCAGCTGTGCTCCTCCCTGCAGCAATAGCGTTCGTAAGGAGGAAAGTGACGGGGACCTTCATCCCCTCTTGTCTGGTGCCCCCCCCCCAGTGTGTTCCCGCCTACTTTGAAGTGCTGGTAACAGCATCAGAGACCAACTTTAGGGTTGGTCTCCCAAATTTGGAGCTGCCCTCCTGTCCCTGCATCTCGCTTTTCTAAGCACTTTCCGCCAGCCTAGAGAAGGCACTTAGGCCCAAGCAGAAATCCCAGAAGCCAGACTGCCTTCATCAAGCCCTGCACAGTTGGTGTGTGTCTCAGTGAAAACTGAAGTCACGCCTGGGGAATCAAATTTGATTTCCTGCCAACCTTGGCTGCCCACGGCCCTGGAGCGTCACAGTCTGGTACTGACAGCTGGCACCACCCAAATGCCAGGCCTCACCGGAGACACGGAGCTGCCTGCCTTCCACCATGCGTGTTCCTGTGAGGGGTACCCCCGCCTCTGGCTGGCTGGCTGCATCAATTCTAGCTGCCTTCATTGCCGTCTCCCGGATCCACTGTGGGGAGAGCGTTTCCATGGTGATGCCTCAGCCATAGCAACAAGTATGTGCCTACTTTATGTGCTAGTTTGGAGAGGCTGGGCTGGGGTCCATCTCCGGGCTTGGAATAGGATTGTAAACTTGTCTTTTGTTTCTTACACATTGTATCATTGAAGGATGTCTGAGTCTAGTGGAAAGGGGCCCACCGTTGCTTGGGAGTCTGGGGAAAGACCACATATTGAACTGCCACTTAGGGTTGAGGCCAAGATTGCATCATTGCCTTTGAAGATGAAGGGCACACCCTGTGGTCTGAAGAATACTAACGGGGGGCAGCAGAGGGGAGCAGCACCATTTTCTCAATAGCTGATTTTACTTGCTGTTAAACAGGAAAAGTGCCCACTATAGTGGCTCTCAACTCTGGCTACACACTGGAATCACCTGGGGGTCTTAAAAAGATACTCACACCAGGCCCCCACCGCACAGAGTTTGACTGAACTGACGGGAATTTCCTGGTCATCAGGAGTTTAAAAAGCTTCCAAGTGGGATGCTCTCAGTGCACGGTAAGGAATAACTGTGTGGGATCCGGTAGAGCCCTGGGCAGGGGGATTTTACAGAATAGGAATATGAAGAAATAGGTTTAAGCCCTGAACATGCTTGCTATTTGATAACTCTTAGAGGCTGGTTCGAGGCGAGATGCCCATAACGATTATAAATTTCAGGATAGTCTTCCATAATCTCTGGAAGCTGTTAAGACTAAGTGCCAAGTGCCAAGTTACGTTTCCAGATCCCACTGAAAATATACCAAGCAGTCGCGACAGTGCGGGGACAAAGGTGAGCATGACAAGGTCTGATGAATAAGGTGCTTCCTTGTACTGGGAAGGGCTTCAGCGTTCTAGAAGGATGAGAGCGAGACAGCAGAGCGGGGAGAAAACTAAGAACACCCCTGAGCCTGGGGAGGCATCTGGAAAAACAGATGCCTTCAGTGGAATCAATGCCATTTTCAGCAAAGTCATTACAAATAGCTCAGGCTTGAAGCTTGGCTTGATGGAGCCAAGTTGAGCAGGGAGGAGTTCAGCTGACTTCATCAGGGAGAGATGCTGAGAAGAAACAAAGTCGTCATGTCCCTGCCCCCCTGCCCCCGACCTGAGCGTCTCTAGACTCTGCTTTACCCTCTGGACTAACCCAGCCTTGCTCCTTAACTCCAAGGACTCCACAGAGGTCTGGAGTAATTAGCTGAGAGCAGTCATCAGCCTGGGCTTCAGAAATCCCAGTGGCACTTCGTTTGAGGAAGTATGTGGGATGGCTTACGACAGGGAGCCTTGGGATGCCAGGATGGAGGGCACACAGACCCTCTGTTTCTGAACCTCTTTTTGTTGGCTCTTCTTGATTGATTAAGGCGGCAGTCTCTGTTTTTTAAACACTTTGCCCCCTCATTTCCTTATGTTCATCTAAAACAGGGAAGACTACAACCCTGATGTTTCCCAAGGACAAATCTCAGTTCTGGAATTTCTCTTTCAACACTGATTCTCCCAACAAGAGAATGTAAATGTGAAAGGGATTCCTTCTTAGGAGGGCATTTAGAGAAGCTGTCAGTCATTTAAAATCTTCAACAGTGAAGTTTAAAAAAACCCAAAACCCAGAGGTGAAAACTAATTTGTAACACTGGTTTTGCAAGAAGCACCCACAAACACTAGATTTGATTTCCCTGACCCAGGTGATGACGGTTATTTTGGTTCATGTTAATCAGCCGCTCAATACCCTGCCGATTGTTGAACTGATTTCTTACCTGCTCCAGGCTCCAGGAGGCTGGACTTTCTGGACGACAAGCCCTTCCCATTGGCCAGGGGGAGCTCCTGCCTGGTGGAGGGCCGGAGCTGACCACTCCCTTTCTGGATGACCACGAGGACATCTTTGTGCAGCTGGGCCTGGTGCAGGACCTTCAGGACATCCCCGTGGGCTAAGCCAGCCAGTGAGGTGCCATTGACTGACAGAAGGAAATCCCCTCGGTGCACGGTCCCTTCCTGAGAAGCTGCCCCCTGAGAAAACACCCTGTGGACCTGGGACAAGGAGAGGACAAAAGCCAAGTTCACGTATGACCTCCAGTAAAAGCCAAAGGGCAAATCTGTAGTAAAGGAACTTTCTAATGGCAAGTTTTCCAAATCATACAAACACTTGGTTTATGGACAACACTCCATGTGAGGAATGGGATTAAAAACGTCAGTACCAGCACCTCAATACATTTTTTACTCTATTCTCGCTAGTGTCTAAAATGTGCCCAGCACTCCATGGGGCAGTAAGAATAAAAGGATGAAGACCTGGTCTTGTCCAGGGAAGGTGGCCTCCCTAGTGATTTCAAAGGCCTCTGAGTGATGACCTTGAGAAAGAAGTGATTTTATAAAGACCAAATGTAAATTTTGGTCAATTATTCCTAAAGCTTAGAACAATGAGACATTGAGGTGAATAATGAGGATACAGACCACTGTGTTTATATGTATTGGCATCTAATAGATCCCTTCAACCTTGTACATCAGTCAGCTTTGTGTTAAAAATACGTATCTTTATCAATGAAAACATGTACCACTGTTTGGTTTCTGTTCTGGTGGCAGGGAACAAACACCCGCATTCTTCGACCCACTGACGTGAATTCTGTCCTCACCAAATTCTGAGGCTGCTTCAGGAGGGCCTCTCCCGGCAGCACCTCGCCCTCGTCACTTACCACAACTGATTTTGGCTCCACGTCTGTCCCTCCTGCCACACTGAATCCCAGACCTGAGCCTTCTTTTTTATTCAAGACTGTGAAGCAAACATCTTCTTTAGTCTAGTGAGAAGAAACAGAAGCAAGTCTATTCCTTGTGCCAAAGGAAGAAAGTCGGGATGTAACCCTCCCGTGGAACTGCAGAACCTGCCACCACTAACCCCTGGGGATTCTTCAGGAGCACTGGGGTCGGGGCCCCATCCCAGCCATCCCGCATCACCCCTGGTGGTGCTCACGCGGAGTTGCCAGGGTCCCTCCTATAGCTCTAGAACCACAAGGTGGACTTGGACCAGGACAGGGTGGGGACAGGGGGCACCTTAGAAGCCATTCTTAGCACTAGATTGCATGTTCCCAATCCTGATCATAGCACATAATTCAATCATAAAGGAGATTCTTTTCAATTTAGCAAAGCCTGTGCTGTCAGCAGCAAAGAGGTGACAAGACAGGATGAGAGCACAATGAGGCCATCAGTTTTATGCCCTCCTCCCACCATGTTCATTGGCTATCAGGTGCAATTCATGAACTGGCAGTCATAAAATCCGAAATATGTTAAAAAAAACAAAGTGCATTAAAAGTACTTGTCAACTTGTATTGAGACTAGAACATTCTTACTAGGACCCTAGGGTTAAGCAACAAAAGACTGTCCTGTATTTCAATCATCAATCAAAACCTTGGAATGAAAGATCTTAAAGTAAGAAAGTTTGCTGGGCTAACTATCTGAATTTTGACTTCTTTCATCCACATGCTAGATACGGCTCAGCATAGGTTTCCCAGGGAGTGATTTGTAATCTGTCAATCCAATTCACGGCAATAAAAAAAAAATCCAGTAACCCTCCAGAATGGCTTTGACAGACAAAGTGAGAACATTGGAAGAGAAAACCACCTCTGGATGGGTGCTGGGAAAAGAACTCAGTATTTCAAAGAAACAGTGTTCAGTCGTCCGAATAAGTCCTAAAGAGTAATCCCGAGCATCTTACACCTCTCTAAAACAGCTCATTCAGACCAGGGCTCCATATGCTGACACTTGAATATCCCACAGAAATGGAGGAGGGGATTTTGACTTCATGGGCAAGTGTAAGCATGTATGTGCTCAGACACTGTTCACTGGAGAGGAGAATGAGGACTAGGCGTTCTCAACTAAAACAGGAACATGTGGTCTGGGACATCATCTCTGTGCAGCTTCTGGGAAGTTTGATGCAGAAACAGAAATACTCCTCAGACGTGTAAATGCCTTACTGGAGTAAAGAGATTTGAAAATGGGACTCTCCTGCATTCCAGGACATGTCACCAAAACTTTATTCAATTATTTTTTCCAGTTGTCTGAGGACACAAGTGTCCTAGAAACTGACGGCGAGGCCAAGTCTTGCCTGTCTGAGGCTTAGCACAGCCTCAGGGAAGCCAGACCCACCCAGAGCTCTCCAGGGTTTGGAGGGTATTGAAATCAAAGTCCAGGGCTTGTTTCCTGAGTGTCTAATCTCTCAAAGTGCCCCAGAGGCCACAGGAAGTTGTCTTGTGCAGTTCCATTTAAGATCATCCTCATTACAAAAAAAGCAAGGCAGGAAACTTCTGAAGAGGGCAAAGAAAGGACATCTCTACTCACGGCTCCTCTCTGACATTAACTGATGG